GAGGCACCTTGAGACATGACCTCAGAACATCCCAGCCATCCCGCAAGGAGGGGCGGTGACACTCACGAGGAGATGCGTTCAGATGTGGGCTAAGTGACTCGGCTAAGGCTTTGCGCCAGCGAGCATCCAGGCTTGATCCTAAGCCAGGTTTGTGTGCCAGACTCCCAAACCCAGACCCTTCCCGGCCCATCTCAAACTGGGCAGGGGCACGGCTGCCCGGAGCTTGCTCCGGGTGAGGTGGTATCCATCACAGCCCCGGAAGGCGGCCAAGAGTACTGGACGCTGTCCCTGAGGATGAGCCCCACGTTACAGAAGTGCCACACGCGCCCCGGGTCTGCAAGGCCATCACCGCCTTGTGATTTGGATCTCCGCTTAAATACCACCTCCGCAGAGTGGCTCTCTTCGATCCCCTGGGTTGTCTTGCTTGTTTGTGTCGAGGGCCACAGACTCTGGACAGCAGGCTGCATCCTGCATCTGCCCCTTCCCAGCTGAGTGGCCCTGGGCACATGCTTGGCCTCTCCTCGTGCCTGTTTCTTCCTCCTTCAAGTGGGGATGTGTGGCCCAGCCTGGCCTCCTTTCTCCAGGGGGGGCCTGAGAGCACGCGAGAAAACAGGGTGGAAAGGCGTTCCAGGATGACGGAGCGTGGTTCGAAGGTGGCATGACGGCTTTATGAAGTCAGAAGGCAGCTCTGGCCCCAGTGAATGCCAAGGGAGTGTGAGCAAGGCCCAGTCACTTGCCCAAAAAGAATACTTTTTCCTTTTAAGGCAATGAGTTAGATATTTATATGTTGAATTTTAGGGTCTGATTAAAACCGACCACTGAATGCATTTGTCTGGAAATCAAGTCCCCAGCCTTGCTTTCCAGCCTATCGTAATTCTCTACACCCCACCTCACTCCATGCTTCCCTGAGCCCTTCTGCAAATGTTCACTGAGCATTCACTGTGGTGTGCCCCTGGCCAGGTGCCGGGAAAACCGTGGTGAGGAAAAGCAGACCCATTGTGTACCCTCACGTGCTGATGGCGGGGGAGACAGACAGGAACGCCACGATCAAAGGCATAAGGCTAAAATCTCAACCAGGGAAGCTTGAGGGCCATGGTGCTGGGGGTGTGACCAAGTCAGGAAGGCCAATAAAGATGAGCTAAAGTCTGAAAGAAGAGTGAGGAGAAAAGCAATCCAGGCAGAGGGAACATGTGCAGAGGAACAAAAAGAACTCTCCCTTGCTTGCCTCCCGCACTTCCCTCCCCTGGGACACCTTCCTCCCTGCAGGATTCCATCTCTTCTTCTTACAAGCTTCTCCATTCTCCAAAGCCAAGCTCAAATGCCTCTTCTTCCAGGAAGCCTTCCATGACTTGCCCTCCTCCCGTTCTCCAGGAGGAAATGATCTTTCCTGCCTGCGATCTCTCTCACCTCCCCATATATATCCTTGGGCCCTTATTCATTCCATCTTTAATGTAGATGCTGTATCCATGTCTTTCCAACCAGGGCATCGATCCCCAAGGGCAGGAACTCTGTCTTCTCTAGTATAGATTTGCAGTCACATAGTTCTGAGTTTATATCCTAGTTGAGGCCACTTACTCGTGGGACTTTTGCATAAATGGCTCTATCTCTCCGGGTCTCTGTTTCCTTATCTGGCAAATGGGGATAATGTGCTGAGGGCGTGGTGTGGCTGCACAGGCCCCAGCTGGGCTCTGACCATCCTGAGAGAGTCAGCTTGTCAAGGGGCTTGAAACAAAGAGGAGGGAGATAGGGTGTTTGTGATCTAGAAAGCCCCAGGGCTTTGAGGGCTTACAGGGGCTTAGACTCGCTTAGACCCGGGTTTCCCGAGTTTGTCTCATGGTAAGGAATACTTGAGCCACTTGTTACAAATGCAGATTCCTAGAGCCCACTCCAGGAATTCTGATTTAGCAGGTCTGAGGTAGGGCCAAGAACTTGTGTTCTGGAAAAGCTCTCGTATAGTTCTGATGCACAATTTGGTGGAAAAATGGAGGCCCTGAGGGAGGCAGTGATTTTCACGAGTGTGATGGGTTGGATCAGTTATCTCAGCTCTGCCTCTTGGAACAGGATTGTGCACCCACACCCTTTGCCAAGTAACTCTGCAGGGCTCATTTGCTGTTGGTGACTGTGTCCCAAGCAGAGGCATGTGTTTGTGTGGCATGGCTTGGCCCGGCCACTTGTGCTCCCAGCATTCACCGTAAGAGAAACGAGCCTGGGTGGCTGCCGGTCCAAGGGGAATGGGAGACATATGGAACAGACTGAATCCAACCCACATTCTGGAGTCCTGCCCAGAATAGAGAGCCCTGCTGCAGAGTAGCTAAACCCTAGCTGCCCCACAGACCAGTGAGTGAGAAAATAAATGTTCATTGTTGTAAAGTACTAAGTTTTGGGGTGGTTTTGTTACGCAGCATTGTTACAGCAATAGCTGACTGACACACCGAGGCCATGCAGTAAATCAATGGCAAAGCTGGGATTCAAACTCAGGTTTGAATCCAGTGCTTGTTTCTCACTGCATCTGTCTTTCAATCCTGAGGGCTCCCCCTTGCTCCTTCTCCTCTGGAAGCCTCTCACTTCCACTCTGTTCCATCTCTAATCTCTGGGAACTAGGGTCCAGCTCAAGCAGCCAGACTCTACTCCTTGCAGCTAATAAGCTGAGGCTTCTTGAGTAGGCCTCCCTCAGGGCTCCCAAATAGGTCCAAGGGAGGCTGCTACAGCCAGGGAAAGAACTCCCTCTCCTCTACCTCCATTCCCCCCGCTACCAGGAGCCTGGGCTTCCCTACCTCAGAGCTTTGTCCAGTTGGACAGCCTCACAGCTGAGGCTTCATAATCTGTGAGGTGTCTTTACCAACAGCTGTTGGTTCTCTCAGATTGCCTGCCTTGAGTCAGCTCCATCCGGATCCCCAATCTGAGTGGGGCTTAAATGCACCCATGACCCCACAAGAACTGCAGGCACGTGCTCACAAATATGCCCTGTTGGCCACAGCGAGACCGCAACCATTCACAAACAAAACCACACTCCTTCTCATACACAAACACACAGAGAGGCAGGGCCACATTCATACGTATAAACTCGTGCTCAAACACACCCCCCTCCAAGCCCCTCACATTCAGACACACCCATGCTCATGAATGCATGTATAAATAAGAAGCCACATGGCCACAGAACATGTAATCACAATCATAAACACATGGTCGCCCAAACACATACAGTGACGCACCCACGCGTTCTTACACATGCACTCGCTCTCACACGCCATCAAACCCAATGTCCTCGGACATACCCTGGATTGTGCCCAAGCACAATCTGTTTGTCCTAGTTAATTCCTGTCTCTTACCCTTCCTGCTTTGTGACTCAACTTCTCTGACCATCATCTGTCAAATGGGGGCATGGATGTCTCCTACTCAAGGAAGCTGGGGGTATGCAGTGAGGTCATGTATAGAAAGTACCCCTCAGCCAGGTGGAGCTGGTTGGCCCCTTTCCTTCCATGTCCTTGTTCATGCCTTTCCTCATTCTTTTTTTTTTTTTTTAATGTTTTTATTTATTTTTGAGAGAGAGACAGAGCACAAGCATGGGAGGGGCAGAGAGAGAGAGGGAGACACAGAATCCGAAGCAGGCTCCAGGCTCCGAGCTGTTAGCACAGAGCCTGATGTGGGGCTTGAACTCACAAACCACGAGATCATGACCTGAGCCAAAGCTGGACGCTTAACTGACTGAGCCACCCAGGTGCCCCGTAAGACATTTCTTTCTATCACTCCCTTAAAATTTTTTTTGGTCCTTTAAACTACAGGTCAAATCCTGCCTCTTACAGGAAGCCTCCCTAGACCTATATCTCTGGATCCCCTGTGCACTTACTGTGTGGGTCTCACTTGACATCAGAAGGATAAGGTGGGTAGCCCACTCACCTTTTCTCCTGGAGCCTGGCCTCCCTTGGCTCTTCCTTGGACAGGGCCCCCCAGACCATGCTCACGGCAGAAGCTGGGCAAGGGTTGTTGACTGAATAACTGAGGGGCACACTCAGTTTTCAGCCTATAGGTCCCATGAAGTCCTTGAAAATCTCATGTGGCCCTTGGTTGGGGGATGAGGCTGGAAAGTGTCTCCTGGACCTGGGCACATGGGGGTCACTGGCGACCCAGAGGACAGTGGTCTTGGTGGAGTGGACTGAGGAAGGAATGGCAGCAGTGGTGAGACTGCCTTTTGGCAACTTTTTTTTGCCACGAGGGAAGTAGGGCAGAAGGTGGAGTGACGTGGGGTCCCGGAAAGGATTATGAAAGGTGAGCTGAGGGAGGAAAGTTTGCCTGAGTTGAACTGGAGGGTGCGGGAGGCTCACAGAAGACACCTGTGGAAACTGCTAGATGTCTCCTGGCTGTGTCCCCACCGCCCACTGTGAGAGGTCTAAGGTAGGCTTCGAGGGGTCACATCCCCTGGCCTCCTCCGTGGTTCGGTGAGGCCACATGACCAAGCTCTTTCCGGGGGAAGGTGCACAGAAGTGACAGGTGCCACTCCTGCTTACCCGGCTTGGAACATTACTGTGGCCCTGCGTCCTCTCTCTCCCACCCTCCCCGCAGGCCGGAGCACAGACAGGCCTAGCACCTCAGCGTCGGTCGTGCACACAGGCAGGGGGCATGGGGGGCGCTGACGCACACGGAAGAACCCGGGCCCCCGAGTCTCCAAGTGGATCCGATCTACCCACTAGCCTGGATTGCTCACCTGTGGACTCTCACAGGGGAGAAGCCTGAATTTCTGTGTTAACTTCAAGCCACTGAACCCTTTTTGTTATAGCAGCTTCACACTTACCTTCAACGACACACATTCACCAAACGACAGCGGTTATTATGAACACCATGACAACGGACAGGTAAACGCTTACCCTCCCAGGTGAGTACAGCCTTGGAAAAGCAGAAGCCACTCCACAGGGGCGAGAGGGTCTTTGATGAGGGCTGGCGGGATACTGGTTTGCACAGCAGGGCGCGGCCCCGCCCCCGGGGCGTGCATTTGAAGTGCTTACCTGCCTGGTTGGTGGTGATGTTCACGGAGGCAAACTGAGGCGAGAAGGGGCTCTGGTCGGTGACACCGTTCACGGCCTGGATCTCGAAGGTGTACTGGGTGTGAGCCAGCAGGTCACTGATGTAAATGCGCGGCTCGGTCAGGCCCAGCTGGCGGGGCGCATACTGCACGTTGTCCCCACAGCGGGTGCAGGCGCCCCGGCCTGAACCACAGCTCTTGCAGATGATGTTGTAGACGAGATCCTCACGGCCTCCTGAATCGCGGGGCGGGGTCCACTCTAGCATGAGGGAGGTCTCATTGACACTGGAGATCACCGCCTGGGGTGCGGAGGGGATGGCTGAGGGTGGGGAGAGGTTTCGGTCAGTGGGGGGCTGTGGAGGTACGTTCCCCAAGGGACGGCTCTCTGCCCACTGCCCTGGCTCCAGCCCAGGCCCCCAAAGGCTTCCTTCGCATCCTTTCTCCCCTCCACCCATCAGAGAGATGCTTCTAGAATATAACTCTCATCTTGCTGCACATCTGCTTAACCCTTTCTCCCTGGACTCCAACCTCCTTGGTGTTTGTTACCGGGACCAGGACCGGTCTTTTTGTGTTGGGGATTACACCCACCTGATATCTATTTCCCCTTCTTCCTTCTAATAGCACCCCGATTTTATTTGGGGGGGGCAATATGTCCAGCCAGAAGACTATATTTCCCAGCCTCCTGTGATTAAGTGCTGACCACTGACATACGGCAGAGGTTTTTTGGTTAGGATCTTTCCTTAAAAGGGCACAGCTATAAAATGTGCCTTTGTCCCTTTCCTCCTTCCTCCGTCTAGAATGTGTGTGATGGCTGGAGCTTCAGCAGCAATGCTGGACTAGGAAGTGACCCAAAGGAGAGGAACCACATGCCGAGGGTGGCAGAGCAGAAAGAGTGAGCCGGGTCCCAGAGAACTTCACGGATTTGCCACAATTATCCCAGGGGTACCTATCTTTGGGGTTCTGCGAAGTGAGAGAATAAATCCTTATGGTTTAAGTCACTGGGGTCAGCTCTCTCTCTTGTCGCCTGCAGCTGAATGCCATTCCTGTCTGATCCAGGGGTGGGAGATTGCCCCCGTAGTCACCCCTTTCTTTGAGAACGCTGGCCTGTGATTCAGGCGGCCGCCACCAGGTTAGAACACCGGGCAGCCTCTTCTGTCACAGACACCAGGTTGGCTCTCCTTCTGCCAAGCCTCCCATTTACTGTCCCTTTGTGAATCGAGACCTTGACTTTATCCTCCATGTGACTGGCAGGAGGAGGTAAGGAGCCAGATGCCAGCTCCATGGTAGCTGCTTGTTGGCAATACAACCACCCCAGGATGGTCCTTTTCCAAACAGCTTTTCATTTCCCCTCCCATCAGGTGATTGGCTGCTCCCCTCTCGGGAAAGGCTGGCTGCAGCCCGACGGCTGTCCAGCCCTTGCTCTGAGCTTTCTGCACGTGGACTCGGGACTCGGTCCGGCATTGCTCCCGAGAGGCCCCGAACGTACTTGTGCAGGGCATGTCCAGGGGGTCCAGGTCTGCTCTGTAGTAGCCGTTGCGGCAGACGCAGTTGGTCGCCCCTTCGGAAGTGGTCCGGCTGTTGATGGGGCAGTGGGTGCAGGCCTCGTCCCCTTGGTTGGCCTTGAAGGTTCCAGATGGGCAACCTGGGACAGAAGACAAGGAGAATTGCTGGAGAAACCGGAGGAGGGCTCAGAGGTCGCAAGGCATGGAGAGGCCCTGTAGTTTCTCGTAGATGCCACACGGCATCACGGAGGGGCCGCGAAGTGCAGTTGTTGGGAAGTCCCATCTCCTAAAGCTCCTGGGGGCCTCCAGGCTCCAACCTGGCAGTCCCTTCTGTGCCCAGAAGGTTCCAGGCTACCTGGCGTCTTGTCTCTGAAGCTGTCTATGGGTTCAGCTGGGGCTCCTAGCAATCCTGCTTCAAATACTCCAGGTTGGCTGAGCCACAGCTTCCAGGGTCAATCCTGACTTATTCCGAAGACCCTGAAGGGGTCTGGGGAAGCGCCCATGGCCCAGTCTTGCTCACTAATGTCTGGCCGAACCCTGATTCTTGTAACTAGATTCCTGGCTTCCCGATGATTGAGGATGATTACATTACAGTAGCAAAGTGCGGGGCATGTAGAAAGATGACGTGGGTATAGCAGGAAAGAACACTGACTTTGGAAGTGGACAGGACTGGGTTTGAGTCCCAGATGGGCCTTTTACTAGCTGTGTGGCCATAGACAAGCGGCTTACGCTTTCTGAGACTCAGTTTCCTTATTTGTAAAATCATGATCCCAAGACCTATTTCTGAAAGCCATTGGGGGAATCCCTTGCACAGTGTGGGCGCCCAATGAGTACTAGCTGTTAGTGCAGCAGGTGTTTGATCAACTTATTTCGCTACACGGAGCCTGCAATACCAGGGACAGCCTGAGGAGGGAAGTGTCTGCACTTGATGGGCATGTTCATCTAAGAGGGCTCTTCCAGAGGCTTCGGCCTTCTTCCCTGCTCTGGGGGGGACTGCTCAGGATCTGGGTTCAGGCCCTGCAGCTCAGGGCTCAGGTTCTACAAGAAATGACCAGTCCTGTGTGGACCAGTGTGCAAATCCACCCTACCCTCTTCCTCCTAGCCCTGGGCTGGGAATCGGGAGGCCTGGGGTCCAGGCCCTGTCCCTCTCCTGGCCTGTTTCTTCTCCTGCTTACTGGGGTTCATAATCCCAGCTCTGCTGTGATCTTGGGAGGGAGGATCACGGAAGGGGTAACTGAGAAGGCGGATGGGGAAGAGCTTTGCAACAGGCAAGTTCCTCCTTGGAATGAAATGCGGCTACACTGTCCCCGGGCCAGGGACGCTCACATTCCATGCCTGTGTGCTGTGTGACCTTTGGCAAGCCATCTCTGCCTCTCAGAGCATCACTTTCCTCATATGTAAATGGCTAACATAAATTTCCCTCAATTATTTTTCCAGCCCCAGTTTCCAAGCTTATCCTCCAAGTTCACATCTTAGCAAACTGCCCTCCTCTCAAGTCTTCAACCAGCTCCAGCCTCGGAGACCCCACCCTCTTTGGCGCTTCTGTTACTTGAGATCGGAAAGCTTTACTCCCCTGCCATAATTATTCATCAAGAGGTCCCCTGGCCGTGCTCTTGGCTCCCTCAGGATCGGAGCCCTGTCTGATTCACGGCTCCTTCCCCTGTGCCCAGCACAGAACCCAGCACTCAGCAGATGCTCCATTAACACCGCTTGAAGTTGCCTTGCCTAAGCGGGAAGAGCTTGGGCTTCGGGGATCGTGCGAGTAGGAAGGCAGTGAAGAACGGTGGCTGGTGTGCAGGCTGCTTGGCCAATCCCCAGCAGTATGACCTCGGGCCAGTCGCTTAAGCTATTTCCTTCCTGCAAAATGGGGACAACAGCATCTATGTTCTATAATTGCTGTGAGGATTACACTGGTTAATTTAGGCGAAAATGCCCGGAATAATTCCTGGCATTATTGAACGGTATCTGGTTCAAATACCAATCTGCTGGGTGACCTCAGACAAGTAGTTCACCTTCTGTGAGCTAAAGTTTTCTCATTGCTGAGAGAGCATCTACCCCACAAAGTGGACTCCATGCGATGGCCAGTGTCTGGCATGGGGGTGGGGAAAGGTTGTGGTTACAATCCCAGGGCTTTGCTGGATGACACAAGTGTGCAGTAAATAAGCCACACACAAGTCCCCCTGGGACACTAGGAAGCAGCACCCTCCCCCTGGGGTCCTAGTTTACCTGCCATTTGGAGGGGGCTTCCAGAAGGTGGCAACCGACTTAACAGACAACTACACTGGCTGATGTCAACTGGACCAGGCCCTGTGGGGATCCTGAAGAGCCAGCTCCAGTCCAGTCCTTAAGAAACTGCCAGGCAAGGGCCAAGTCAGGACTTTGACATAACCATTCAGGCCAAGGTGACACTAAGGAGGATGACACTGAGTGCTCTGGGGAGTTATTAGGGCTTCTGCTGTACAGCTGGGGATACCAGGCCTTCAGAGTGTAAATACGAAACAGCCAACATTTACCGAGTAGTTTTTGAAAATGTTTATTTATTTTGAGAGAGAGAGAGAGAGAGAGAGCAAGCCAGGGTGGGGGTGGGGGGGCAGAGAGAGAGGGAAAGAGAAAGGGAGAGAGAATCCTGAGCAGGCTCCGTGCTCTCAGCACAGTGCCTGATGTGGGGGGCTCGATCCCACAAACCACAAGATCAGGACCTGAGCGGAAATCAAGAGTTGGATGCTTAGCTGACTGAGCCACCCAGGCAGCCCTTACTGAGTACTTACTAAATATTGGCACTGTTCTAAGTACTTAACCCATAGTAACTCATCCAGTCCTTACCCAGCCCTGTGATGGAGGGAGTGTTATCACCTGCATTTTCAGATGGAGGCATGAAGGCACAGAGGTGAAGTAATTTGCTAGGATGTGAGCTTACCGTGGCACAGTTGAGATTCAATCTTGGGTGGTCTGACTCTAGAGGCTTCCCTAACCACCACACTACACTGCCCTTATGCAACTTGCATTGTTGTCAAAGGTCTGTGAGTGCTGGGCAGGGATTGGCAGCTCCTGGGCGGGTGCCCAGAGCTCTCTCCACTTGACTGCACTGGCTTTGGGGTCCTGAGTCCTCCTGCCCTCCTTCCTTCTTACTTTCCTCTCAGGCACCAGAGTTTCCCTGCTGTCTGGATAAAGAGTGCCATCTTGGCACTATCCAGTCAGCTCTGGCTCTAGTTAAGTGATTGATCTCTCTGAGCCTCAGTTTCCTCTGCTGTAAAGTGGGGGTACAGGGCTTCTGTGAAGGGGGGATCTAGGACCATCCTAATAGATGCCAAAAGGTTTTGATCCCAAGATCAGGACCCTCCTGGCTCCCTTTCGGGCAAGAGCCGGCCCAGCTTAGCACATCTCTCCCATCTGCTGGTAGTTCCCGGGGCCTGGCTGGTGAGTGGCTGCCCACAGTCTCCTCTGTGCCGCGCCAGCCCCTCCATCTGGGCCACCTTCCTGGCTGTCCTTCCCAGTCACCACATCCTGGTCCCATCTCAGACTCCCCAGGCTGCCTCCTTCAGAAGCCTTCCCTCTTTTAGGTGTCCGGCTGGATACCCCTCCGCCTTCTCACTGGGCGGCTATGGTTTCTGTATCTCTCGGCACCGTGCTTCACAAAACCCACTCTTTCGTCTTGCAAGGTGACGTCACTCTCCACCCAGTCCCCCGGAACCCTGGATGCCTCCTCCCTCCCCTCACCCCCTGCGGCCAATTATCAGGTCTTCCCCCCACTCAGCAGTGCCCCGTCCTGGCTCTTCCCTCCTACTGTTCCACCCATGCGGGCATCCAGAAAGCTCTTCTTACCTACTCCTTAGCCTCTCATGGCCATCTGGCCTCCTCCTGCCCACCCTCTAGAGCCAGCTATCTAAAGTACAAACCTTTTTGTGCCACTTAAAAATCCACAATGGCACACAATGGAATATTATTTGGCCGTAAAAAGGAATAAAACACTGATACGTGCTACAACGTGGATGAACCCTGAAAACACTGTGCTTAGTGAAAGAAGCCAGTCACAAAAGGCTACATGTTGTATGCTTCCCTTTATCTAAAAGTGTCCAGAACAGCGATCTCTAGAGACAGAAGTAGCTTAGTGGTTGCCAGGGACAGGGGAGAGCAGAGAATGGAGAGTGACCGCTAATGGGCAAGAGGGTTTCTTTCTGAGGTGATGAACATGTTCTAAAATTGACTGCGGTGACAGTTGCACAATTCTATGAATACACCAAAAATCACTGAATTGTACAATTTAGCTGAATTCTATGGTATGTGCATCACGTCACAATAAAACTGCTATTAAAAAAAAATCCACAACAGCTCCCCAAACTGTTCAGGGCCCCCAGGCCCCCAGGGCTGGCACCTGCCCGCCTCTCAGTGCCCACCACCCTGAGCTTTGTGCTGTTCTGCACAGTCCGCTACATGTGGTGCCTGCCCCAGGCCTGCCTCCACACCTCCGGCCTCTGTCCACCCTGCCCTCATTCCCTGCAATGCCTTCCCCTTGTCATCAAACTCCTACACCCCTTTAAGACCTGGCTTAGGTACCCCTCTTCCAGGAAGCCTTTCCTGGAGGGAAGGCTTCTTTCTCTCTCTTTTTTTTTTAATGTTTATTTATTTATTTTGAGAGCGAGAGGGTGTGTGGTGTGGGTGTGTGAGTGGCAAAGGGAAAGGGAGAAAGAGAATCCCTAGCAGGCTCCGCACCGTCAGCACAGAGTGTGTGATGCAGGGCTCGAGCTCATGAACTGGGAGATCATGACCTGAGCTGAAACCAAAAGTCGGAGGCTTAACCAACGGGTGTCCCAGAAGTGCCTGTTTTGCTTACTTAGGCATGAATCTGTAAGTGCCTGGCTGGATTGTGAATTCCCAGTCCGATGCCGGGTGCCTAGCAGGTGACGGGTGGGCGAAGTGACAAAGCTGCAAAAGCGTCCAGTGCAACCCCCTTATCCGACGTTGGAGGAAACTGAGGCCCAAAGAGGGGCAGACACACCGGCAGCAGAGGCAGATTCTGATACCAGGTATAGTGTGTGAGCGGGGGGAGGCCCTCAGCTCTGGTCTGCCACCTCTTTGCCCACAGAGAGGTCAGGAACCGCAGCCCGCCCTCAGTGCCCAGTGCCCTAGGGGCCGTGCCACT